AGTACAGGTGGAGCTCCACGTCCGGCGTCATGACATACTCCCGGTTGCCATTGAACTGGATCAGATGGCTTTCCAGGTCCTCCTCGTCGTTCATTTCCTGGGAACTCTGGAATCGCTCCGAGGGAGGTCGTGCCCGCACCCTTCTCAGCCTCTGGGGTATCAGGCGGCGGTCCCGATGGTGGACTCGGCGGAGTGGAGGCTTCGGTCGACTTGCCTCCTTGAAATCCCGGTCCTTCTCCTTGTAGGAGTCATCCACCTTTTTCTTCAAGTCCGCCAACTCCCTCTTGAGCATCGAATTCTGAGACATGACCGCTCTCAGGACTTCTTGGATGTCCACCCCCATCTCCTCAGCTCCGGATGCCATAGGCCTTGTCGTCGATGTAGATGCTTCCGGAAGGCCTGCAGGCCGCATGGCACGTAGCATGGCCTCGTCCTTGACCGTCTGGCTCCAAAAGGGGTTGACTTCCACTTGTCTCGAGGTCCCATGTCCCTTTCCGTCCTTCTTCGAACTGCCGTCCTCCCTCCGTTGAGGCCCGTAGGTCGTGGGAGGTCCATGTGGGAGCAGCGCTTGCGACGCCACCACCAGCGCGCCCTCGCTCGCCGCGATGTCCTCGATCGCCAGCGCCCCCTGGTCCTCCTTGGCACTCTCCATCGAGGACGTCGCCTCTGGAGAGTCCAAGCCAGCGCCGCCAGCTGCTCGAGCCATGGCGGCCAACAACTCGTGGATCGACGTGATCCAGCCGAGGTGGTCTTACAACCCTCGAAAACAGCCTGGGCTCATAACCTACGTGAGCGGTTCGCTCCTTTTTCTGCTGTCAAAAGGGCTTCGGGTGCATTTGATCATAGCCAAAAGGTCGTAACCCGGCTGGTGCGTGCTACACTTGATCATAGTCAAAAGGTCGTGACCCAGTTGGTGAATGCTACACTTGATCATAGCCGAAAAGGCCTTGACCCAGCAAAAACCGAACTTGGTACACTTCTTCATTTGTGCGGACTTCCACACATCCGACCCCTTGGCAAGCAGCAAAGTGCTGTGCCTGCCACGAGATCTGCACACGGAGGTTCACAAAGTGCTGTGCCTGCCACGAGATCTGCGCATGAAGGTTCGCGCCTGCAACGAAATCTCCACATCCAGCGCCGGTGCCCAGCCGACGCCAGGGCGTACATCCGACCCCTTGGCAAGCAGCAAAGTGCTGCGCCTGCCACGAGATCTGCGCATGAAGCTTCACAAAGTGCTGCGCCTGCCACGAAATCTGCACATCCAGCGCCGGTGCCCAGCCGACGCCAGGGCGTACATCCGACCCCTTGGCAAGCAGCAAAGCGCTGTGCCTGCCACGAGATGCGCTGCGCCTGTGAGTGGTGTTGCGTGTGAGACGATGTTGTGTGTTGTGTGTGAGATGTTGTTGTGAGAGATGTTGTGTGAGAGAGGTTGAAGGGAGATGTTGTGTGAGAGAGAGGTTGAAGGAGGAAGGAGGAAGGAGGGCGGAGGAGGAGCGAGGACGGAGGAGGAGCGAGGAGGTGCAGCAAAAAAACAAGAACCCCACACAACAATGTGGGGAACAAGAACCCCACACAACAATAGAGCGCCGGTGCCACGAGATCTGCGCCGGTGCCCAGCCGACGCCAGGGCGTACATCCGACCCCTTGGCAAGCTGCAAAGTGCTTCGCCTGCCACGAAATCTGCACATGGAGGGCTGCAAAGTGCTGCGCCTGCCACGAAATCTGCACATGGAGGTTCACAAAGTGCTGTGCCTGCCACGAGATCTGCGCCAGTGCCCAGCCGACGCCAGGGCGTACATCCGACCCCTGCAAAGTGCTGCGCCTGCCACGCAGCACTGCACGAAATCTGCACATGAAGGTTCCCAAAGTGCTGTGCCTGCCACGAAATCTGCACATGGAGGTTCACAAAGCGCTGTGCCTGCCACGAGATCTGCGCCGGTGCCCAGCCGACGCCAGGG